CTTTTTAATTATAAATGAAAGAGTTTGCAAATAAATTTGATTTTAAATGAAGGGGGAGGGGGAGTGAGAGAGAGAAAAAAAAATTACTGGCAGGCAGCTGCTGCCTGTTGAATTAGTTATTTTGTGCGAAAAAAAAAAAAAAAAAAAATTTTGCTTTCGTGCCAATCTTTTGAAACGGCCATGAAAACTTATTGTATCCTCCATTTTTCTTTTTTTTCTCTTTTTTTCTTTAAAGTTTTATTTTAAATTTTAAATTTATAATGCATTTATTATGTTGAAAAGTGTAAAATCACGATTTTCTTTTTTTTTTTTTTTTTTTTTTTTTTCCTTTTCGATATGAATAATAATGATGATGATGATAATTTTTTCGGACTCTGTTTATTGATTTTGTTGATTTCGTTCGCGAAGGTTCGTCAAAGGATTTTTTTTCGTACGAAATTTTCCAGTATGATGTGTTTCTTTATTCCCACTTCATCCCAAAAAACCTTCCCCCTTGTGTCCCCTTTTCCGTTGAATCATCGGAAAAGAAAATGATGAATTTTTATTTATTTATTTATAATAATATAATATATTCACAAATTTGTGAACAAAGGATTTTCTTTTCCAGACAGATCAAATTGACTGCAAAGTAGGCGTCGTGAAAGATTTCAAAAACAAAAATGCCATTTTTTCATACCTACCTATTAGGTTTCCCAAGTCGGCAAAAAAAAAAAAAAAAAAAAAAAAAAAAAAAACGTCGATTGAATGTTAAAGTCCTTCGAAGAAAACGTGACCGTAGCTTCGTTGACGACGAATACACACAAAGAATTGTGCTTTTGTGTTTTTCCCCTCCCCTTTCCCCCTCTTTGAGTGCGTGTGTGCGTGTGGTGCGTGCGTTTTTACCTTTTGGTAATAATACAGTCAGTCGATGGAATTTTGTACCGTTTTAAAATAAAAATTTGGAGGGAGGGAGTAGGAGAAGTAGAACGATCCATTGTTTTCTTTTTTTTCTTTTCTGTTATTTGCTGGAAGTAAATTGATTGATTGATTGATTGATTCGTCGGTATGGGAGTTCGCGTTTTTCGATTCACCATCTTTTTAAAAAGAAAAAAAATGAGTCAGTTGTTAATTCTTGGTAGCAATGAAGAAAAATAACGAACTATTAAGAGAAAAAAGAGCGCAAATAAGAGAGCAAACGATTTTTTTTTTTTTTGGTTTCTTATTACTCGCGATGAAATAAATTAGCCATTTTTTTTTATATATATATAAATATTGACTTTCCAGGTTTTTGTTGTGGTTGTTGTTGTTGTTCGTAGACGTGAAATTCCTGAGATTCGTATTTCCTATTTCGTTACGAGAATTGTTTTTCTTTTTCTCTCTCTCTCTCTCTCTCTCTCTTATTATCGTTAAGATTATTCTTTCTTTCTTTCTTCTTTTTCAACTCCGAGATTCGTAACGTATCGAAAAAAATCAATTTAAAAAAAAAAAAAAAAATGTTTGCATGCGAAAGCTTTTCAAAATCAATGTTTTTCATTCATTTAAAAAATATTTAATACGGTGATAGTTTCCCCCCACTTCCTCCTCCTCATCTTCCCTCTTCTTCCTTCCCCGTAATTTTCTATTTTTTTTTTTTTTTTTTTTTTTAATCATTCGTTGTGTGAATCCGTTGTAAAAGAAATTTTTTTTTTGGCATATGCGCCGCATACACTGACTGTATGTCAACAATGTCATCATCATCATCATCGCACATAATCGTGAACTTGATTATGACAAAATATGTGTGTACGTAATTCCACGTCGTCGTCGTCGTAAGAGTGAAAGGCGTTGACCTTAAGCTGCACCTGTTTAGGTCTATACGTTCAGTCACCTTTCCTGTGAACTCGCACAGAACGAACAAGACCGATCGAGAATCGGTTAAAGACGATATATATATACATATATATATATATATATTTTAGATTTGAATTGAATGGATCATCGTCTTGAGATTGTTGAGCGTAAACAAACAAACAAACAAACAACAACAACAACGTCGTCGTCGTCGTCGTCGTGTGTTGTGTATATTACGCGCAGAATTCATTCATCGTAGCCATTTTTTTTTTTTTTTTAAAAGCGATATGAGAATGTGAAGTTGAGTGTTTTTTATTACTTTTTCGTGTTTTTTTTTTTTTTTTTTATTTAAATAAAAAACACGAAAAAGTAAATAAAGAAAAGCATTCAAGCGCGAGAGAGTTTTTTTATTAATAAGAAGTTTTAAGCGAATTTTTAAAAAAAAAAAAAAAAAGAATTAAAGGGTTGGCAGCCCTGAGAAAAACGATGGAAGGTATCGTAGGCCTATAGCGATGACTTTGGGTTTAAAAGAAGATTTCACTATTATAATAAATTTTCTTTTTTCTTTTTTCTTTTTTTTTTAACGAACCGGTAAAAGAAGGTACTAGAAAAAACAAAACGAAAACGAAAAATGGTTTGATAATTAATTGGTAAATTGTTTAAAAAAAAAAAAAAAGAAAGAAAAAAGAAAGAAAACGATAATAAGTTGTTGTTGTTGTTTTCGTTTTTACAGGGAAATAGAAAATTAAATTATGTCGAAAATAACCTCGAGGCAAAACTGCATTCTTGTGTGTGTGTGTGAGTTAACTCCTCTTGAGTTCTGTTACCACCCGGAGGGTAAATGGCATTCCATTCATATCTTTGCGGTCTTCTTTGTTATTGTGCCCCTCTTCCTCCCCCCCGACTTCCCCTCCTTCCTCTTCCGTTTTCTTCCTCTATGATTTTCTTACCTTTCCCACCTTACGATTCTCTCCTCTACTACATGAGATATGTGTCAGGTCTCTAAGGTTCGCCATGTCGTATGTGTGTGTTTGTTTGGTTATTTTTTTTTAAAACTGAAGTTTAAATCTCTCTGTCTCACTCTCTCTCTCTCTCTCTCTTTCTCTGGTGATTTATTCCCTATTTTTTTATTTATTTATGCGTATTGATTTTTAACCGTGAGCGAGAGTCGAAAAAAAGTAAAAAAAAAAAAAAAAAAGTTTGGTAGTTTCTTGTAATCGGGTAAAAACATCACGGAAAGAAAATAAATTCGGTTCTTTTATTTTCTCAAATGGTCATTTATTCGTTTTATTCCCCCTTCCCTTTCCCCTTCCTCTTCTCCCCTTTCCATCCCTCTCTCTCTCTCTCTCTCACTCTTTTGGCATAATCATTTGTAAAACGATTTTCTCTATTTTCAAATGAAAGTTTTCTCTCGTTTACAAAAAAAAAAAAAAAAAAAAAAAAACATTTGGTGTCGTTTCGTTTTTGGTTTTTCTCTTCTTTTCTTTCTCCCTTCCCTCCCCCCTCATTTACCACCATTTTCTCGAAATTTCACGTTTACAAGTCAACATTAATTCTGCCAAAAAAAAAAAAAAAAAAAAATTTTTTTGTTAAGGGTAATATTTAAGTAAATGATTGATTAAACTAACAATGTTTAACTCTAATGGAAAAACAAAGTAAAAAAAAAAAAAAAAAACGAGTTCAAAGGTCATAAATAATAGTCGGAGAATCTAATGCTGCGACTGTTACAAAATATATATATATATAAAAAAAAGGTAAATCATTTAATTAATTTTACCGAATTATCATCATCATCATCATTATTATTATCATTATTGTTATTGCCATGGTGATTTTTTTTGCCTTCTCTCTCTCTCTCTCTCTCTCTCTCTCTCTCTCTCTTTCTCTCTCTCCTATTAATGAGAGAAGCGAGTTACTAATTGGACGTGTAAAATAATAATTAACCTTTGAATGATTTAGTTATTTATTTAATTTTTCCTTTTTTACTTTGTTTTCCTTTTAAGTAGGCGCAAATAGAAAAAAACATTTTGTGTTTGAATCGTTTTGTCGCGAACAACCAAAAATGGGTAAACGACGATTTGTTTGTTTGTTTGTTTGATTGTTTGCATTATCATTTGTTGTTGCAACGTTCGCATGAGCAATTAAAAAAATAATAATGTTATTAAATTTGCACGTGCATGTTTTTGGCGTATCGAGTTTTTTTAGAGGGTGTATTCGTAGGTGAAACGAAGTGGTAAAAGCCCCCCCCCTCTGGACCCCCCGTGTATTTTATTGCATTTTTGTTTTATCGATGTGGATTTTCACATTCGTCGTAAAATGTCCGGGAAATTTTTTTTTTTTTCTCGAAAATGTTGTTGATTAATTGTGAGGTGAGAGAGAGAGAGAGAGAAAAAATGTCCGAACGTTGTGTGCTTTGTGTAGTTACTTGAGCCCAAGTTTAATATTCTCGCGAGGGATGTAATAGAAAGAGACTGTGTGTAGAAAGGAGAAAGAGAGAGAGAAAGAGGAAAAGAGGAAAAGGAGAAAATAAAAGAAAAAAAAAAAAAATTGCCACCTGTTGATTCTTTAAATTTACAATTTTTGCATTTGATGGAGAAATACATTTACACGTGGAAAAAAAAAAACAATGCCTTGTTTCTCTCTCTCTCTCTCTCTCTCTCTTTCTCTCTCTCTCTTTTTTCGATAATTTCGTCAAATCAAACCTTTAAAAAAAAAAAAAATTTGGTTTTGGACATAAAAGTTATAAGAAGGATTTAATGAAACCTTTTTTTATTTTTTCCATTGCACGCTCTCTCTCTCTTTCTCTGTCTCTCTCTCTCTCTTTCGAACGTTCTCGTTCACGAACGTCGTTCAAATGAATGAATGAACGGGTGAACAAAATCGTTAGAGGTTGTGTGTAATGAGTAGGAAAATTTTTTTTTGTTTTTATTTTTTTTATTTTATTTTTTATACAATTTAAATTTGAATATTGAATCAAGTTCATAAAAATGCTCGATTTATTTTTTTTTTTTTTGCGTTAAAAATTCGTTTCGGGAAAATTTCAAAATGGCGAAATTGATGATTGCGCATAGTAAAAACTCATCGGTTACAATTTCGCGGGGAGCTATAAACAACAATATATATATATATATATAGAAATTGCGAGTTGTTGATTTGTTAAATTATGCAATAGGCGGAGATGGAAACGACCAATGAGAAATGTTTGTCTTATTGAACGTATGATGAATATACAAGTATTAACTCGTTAGCAGAAATATATTCGCACCGGATTTTTTTTTTTTTTTTTTTTAGCCACGTGGTTTGTTTCTTGTTTGTTTGTTTGTTTGTTTGTTTTGTTTTCGTTTTGTTTTTAATGCGTTATGTGCCGTTGTCATTTTTACATTTCTCTTATCGTTACTATTATTATTATGATGATAGTCGTCGTCATTTACGTTAATTTTCCTCAAATGGCTATCTTATTTTATTTTCTCTCTCTCTTTCTTCCTCTCTCACTTTTCCAAATCAGGTTTCATTGTTATTTGATGCCTTGATTTTTCTTTCGTAAAAAAAAAAATAAAAAAAATAAACGGATAATAACAAAACAGAAAAAGTTGATAAAAAGGCGCGCATTTTGGTTTCCCGTTCAAGTTCACGTTGATAAACAATTTGTTTTTAATTTTAAAAATATTTTATAATTTATTTATTTATTTTATTTATTTATTTATTTAGTTATTTATTTATTTTTGTGGTTGTTGTTTCTGTTTCAGCGTTCTCATTCAGCTCAATCTCGAGGATTTGTTTCAAAAAGCTTTAAATTCGCCGCAACACCTAAGCCGGATACAAGCCGTATTGGACAAAATGTCAAAGCATCCAGGTAACTACTACTACCTCTCTCTCTCTCTCTCTCTCTCTCTCTCTCTCTCTCTCTCTCTCTCTCTGACAAATTGAAATTATTTTGATTTTGATTTTTTTTAAAAATTTTCTCTTGTTGTTGTCGTTTTAGATTTTACGACGAGAGTACTGCTCATGAGAAAATTACCAAGGTTGGCATTACTTTGCGCCGGTGAAAATCAATCGGAACACGTAAACACTCGGTTGTGGCCTTTGATTTTATCTTGCCTAAACGATAAGAACGAAGAGGTTAGTTAGTTATAATTAATTATAATTATTCTTCATTATAACGTTGACGTACGTGCGACAAAATCCTGTGTAAACTTGTCGGACTGTTGTCGAAAGCATCATTCATTCGAATGGAAATCCCAACCCCAAATCCGACAAAAAAAAAAAACCAACGAAAGAGAGAAAGAAATGCGGGCAATGCCTGCCTGCCTTCCCACATGCTGCAACTTCCTGCACAATTTTTTTTTTTTTTTCTTTTAAATTTTTGAAAAAATATCATCATCATCATCGTCGTCGTCGTCGGGTTGACATTGTTTGTTTGTTTGTTTGTTTGTTTGTGCATGAGTTGGTTGCTGACGGTTGGTTAAACCGATTCGTGGTGTTCGATGCGGTCAACCGTTTTTTTTTTTTTTTAAAATGGTTTTATTTTTATTGATTAATAAATAATATTTTTTTAAATTGTTTTTTTATTGAATGATTTACAACACATGTTAATTGTTCGGACACGGATCGGTCAATTTCATCGTTAATGACTCGTAAAGGGTAGGTGGGAAGGGCGAGGGGAGGAGGAGGGAAGGAGAGGAAGGGAAGGCGGGAAATCGAGCCACACGAGTATTTCAGATCGTATTATAAGTACAAGAACGTTTTAGAAATGGTGGTGGTGGAGGAATGGTCGTGGTGATAGCACATGGTAGGGTATAGTAAAAGTAGGAGAGCATGAAAACAAGAGACATGAGTCCTTTTTGTTTCCCCCCTCTCCCTCTCTCTCCCTCTCTCTCTCTCTCTCTCTTTTTAAATTGGTTAAATAATTTTTATTAATACGAGTTTTGATGTTTGTACAAGATGACCTTTTTATGTTTTTTTTTTTCTAAATGTTTTTTCCTCTAAATAAATATATGTATGTATGTATATGCACACATATGTTTGCCCTTTTTTAAACGTTACAAAAAAAAAAAAAGACGGAAAGATAAATTTTTATGTTAAATTTGGTCGGTTTGTTCGTTTGTTGTTTGTTGTTTGTTGTGAGAAGACATTTTTTTTTTTTTTTCAGGTTAGAAAATCATGCGAAGTCTCCCTGTTGGTGTTCATAAAAGAAAAACTTTTGGATCAGGAAGTTATAACGGAAAAAGTTTGTCCATCCATCGTGAAAATATGTAAGGAAGATGGATTTGCGAGCACGGTTGCCGTAAGTATCATAAGAATAAGATGACTTTTTTTTTTTTTTTTTTTTTTCTAAACGAGATTAAAGAGTAGAAGAAGGAGAAGAGGTAGTAGTAGTTGGTAAGAGGTACCGATGACCAAGTAATCGAGCCGGGGGAGAGAATTAAAATATTTAAAAAAAAATTTGGTTTGTTTGTTTTGTTTTCTTTTGTTTCGATGTTGGTTTCAACTTTTTGAAAGACATGGGTAGTGAGATGTTGGTTCACGTGTCATTTTTACCTCTCACTACCTTGTCTTTCATGAAGAAGTAACCGTGATGCCACTTGCGGAACGTTTTCTTTGCGGGTGAGTTGTTGTTGTTGTTGTTGTTATTAATTCATCTTCGTGATTCTCTCTCTATCTCTCTCACTCTTTGTCTCTGTCACATTCAAATTTTTTTTTTCATCCTTTTCTTCTCAATCAAAATCAAAATCGACAAGAGCAAAATTCTTTCATTACAGTTGACTGTAATAGATAAATATTGTAATTCTATCACAGCCAGCTTTGATGAGCAGAACGTTGTTCGAAAGCATCGATTAAAAAGAAAGAAGAGAAAAGAAAAGAATGTTCGATTCATCGAATTTGGAAAAAAAGGAAAGAAGAGGAAGAGGAAGAAGGAGAGAAGGCAATTCTCGGGTCACAAAGTGTATGTGAAATGTGGCGTCTTTGAATTCATATCACAGCCACTTTGATGACCTCGGAGTTGTCGGAAAAAAAAACCTTACTAGGAGGAGATAATAATAATAATAATATTTTTTGTTATTTTCCGTCGAAAAGGGTTATTTATACCCACGTGACGAAGCGTTCAGAGGGGTAGTAGGGATATCGGGTGATGATGAGGGATTTTTAAATAATAATAATTCTTAAAACTACGCGGGGTGTTGTTTGAATTGATGAACGTGTCAGCAGATATTTTCATGTTTTTTTTTTTTTTTTTGAATTTTCCTTATCGATAAGGAAAAGCGGTTATTATAATTGATTTTCATCATTATTTTAAATTTAATACACGGTGATTAATTATGTCGATTTTTTATTTTTTTGTGAATTTGTTGTTTCTTTTCAAAAATTTTATTTATAATAATCGCCATTTTTTCTTCTATCTCTTTCTATCTCTCTCTTTTGAAAAGGGAAGAAATATCATTTTTTTTGTGTTTTAAATTTCGTCTATTGTTTTTTTTTCTTATTGTTGTTGTTGTTGCTGTTGTTGGTGCTGCTGCTGCTGCTGTTGGTGCTTTGTAAACAAAAAGAAGAAAAAGAAAAGAATATGAATCGGAGATCCACCCGTCAAATCGGTTGTGATTTATGTTTTATGAATTTTCATATCACAGCCATATTTGACAAGTCGGGTTTTCGGTTTGTCGACAATCGTTAAATAATTTGACGAAACAACAAGTGAGAAGAAAATTTTTTTGGTTTTTCCGGGTTTTCCGGGTTTTTTCCCTTTTAGTGACGAGGAAGAATAAACACTGACAAGAGAAGAAAACTGTCTAAAGTTTTTCCTCTGCCACTCACAAAGTGGCTGGGGTATGTTGAATTCATATCACAGCCAGCTTTGATGAGCGGGACGGGGAAATAAATCTTCAATTCATCTTTTGGTTTTTCTTGTTTTTTCCCATCGAAATTTCGAATGATATGAGAGTTAAATATATATATGAGGGGAGGGAAAGGGGAAGGGGAGGAGGGAAAATTGTTTTTTTAGCTGTTGCTCCGCTCACAAAGTGGTTGGTATATGTTGTATTCATTTGATTTATCATATCACAGCCAGCTTTGATGAGTGGGTCTCTGCTATAAAATCCGAGGAAATTTTTTTTTTTTTTTTTTTTACATAACTTTATTATCTCTGTCGGGGGGAGGGGAGGGGAAAGCTCATTTATTTATTTAATTAAATAAATTAATTTAAAAAAAAACTTTTTTTTCTTTCTTTTTCTTTATTTTTAGTTAATGGGAAAAATGGTTCCGTTGATTGGTAAAGAAGCAACAGAAAAATATTTCCTACACGTGTTCGTTCTCCAGTGCTCGAATCCCGGTTATTTGATACGGAGGAAATGCGTGAAAAGTTTGGGAGATTTTTGCGCTGTGGTCGGAATGGAAACCACAGAAAAATATCTGGTGAGGAGGAAAAAAAAAAAATTGATAATCCCGTCCCGTTTTTCCGGTGGGAAAGGAGAAGGAGAATTTAAAAAAAATTCCCATGAATTATCGCAGGTGGATCCTTTCGTCAAATTGTGTCAGGATGATTATTGGGAAGTGAGAGCTTGTTGTCCCGCCGTTGCCGTTCCCGTGTCTTGTACCTGTTCGTTGGAAAAAAGGAAAACCGTTTTGGCGGATGCATACGCGGAACTATTGCTCGAAATCGAACCTCACGTCCGATGTTCCGCCTACGTATTTTTAGGTGCCTTCATATGCACATTCGCCGATCCGAGCATAACAAAATTGGATTACAATGAAAATGGGAAATTGATTTTCGTGAGTCAGGAAGGATACGAATTTCGGTGATTATTATTATTATTATCATCATCATCATCATCATCATCATCATCATCATCATTTTTTTCGTTATAATAGGAAAAATTTCGTTTAAAATTTCAGGACAGCCGAAGTTTATTACAATTATTCGAAAGGGATTAAATGGGAAAGGGATATGAGAGATGGGAAACCTTATTTCAAAGAAGCTCCAGAAGATCAAACGTTAAATGGTACGTTACGTTTTTATTATTATTATTATACGGTTACAAAATCGGGGAGAAAAAACACCGTGTGAATTTAACGAACGAACGAATTGTTGTTGAATTTGATTTTTTTTTTTTTGGGGGGGCGTTCTTTGATTTCAGCATCGAAAGCTTTATTATACTTTGTACAGAACGAAAATGGGCCGCCGTTAAACGTGCAAGGCGCCAGCAATAGTAATAATAATAGTAATAATAACACGAATCAAAGTTTTACGGAAACGACGGATCAGTCGGTGTCTGGAATTTCGTGGAAATCGGAAGAAGATGGCGGCGGCAATTGGTGGACCAAGAGTCAAATCCCTTCGGCGGACGAGGATGAAGCAAACGATTTATACAACACATTCCGATTTTGGAGAGTGCCATTGGATGTTTTGGATACGTACGAATCATCCGAACCCGAACAAGACGACATAAGAACGGATCTCAATAATTTAGACGTATGTATATCGTGACTGATGTGTGTCGTTGATTTCCCCCCCCCCACTCCTCTCACTCTCTCCAACTCTCTCGCTCTCTTCGTTTTCACAGAACGAACTATCTAGTTTGTCGGAAAAATTGGCAGAATGTTCGACGGAAAGTTTAGACGTGAAAACGGAATCTCCGGTATCGTGTTCATCGAGTTCGGATTCGGGTTGGAATAGTGGAGAAACGACGACTCACGTCGAATCCGTCACGTCATCATCATCATCATCAGCAGCAGCAGAAGAAAAAAAAGACAGTCGTATGTTATGTTTATTTCAAAATGTCGACGCGGAATCATTGCGATCTAACTTTGCCAACGCTCCATTTTGTTTCTCCGTGTTTCAGAATCGCCTCAGCAGTCGGAGGAAAGCGAGGAAACTTCTCCAAAAGTCAATCTTCCCGATCAGAATATAGTTCCTCAAGTTTTGTTGGATAGTTTCGTATCGATGACGTCACCTCTCCTCGGAGATGTTTTCGATAAGGAAATGGCTCAAGATTATGCTTATTGCCTTCCAGCTGTTGCCTTAACGTTGGGACCCAGCAATTGGCCTTACATAAAAAACGCGTACAAATGTTTGTCGATGAACATACAGGTGAGAAGCGAGTTATTATTATTATTATTATTATTATCATCGATGATTGTTGTGTAAATTAATAATAATAATAATTATTGTTTACAGTGGAGAGTTCGGAAAACGGTCGTTTCAAGCATACACAAATTGGCGTCGTTGGTGGGCGAGGAAGTTGCATCCAAGGATTTGGCTCCCATATTCGAAAGTTTCAGCCGGGATTTGGACGAAGTCAAAGTGGGAGCTCTCGAACATTTGGCGGATTTTTTAAATCTCGTTCAACCGTCGACTCGAACCGCGTTTCTACCCCGTTTGAAAGATTTTCTAGAAATGGAATTCGATTACAATTGGAGGTACCGGGAAGAATTCGGGGAACAGTTGAGACTTTTGATCAAATTGTACGGTCCGTCGGATTGGTTGGAATATTTCGAACCCCTCGCGACTCTCCTTCTATGCGATAAAGTGGCCACAGTTCGTCACAAAGCAGTCACGCTGGTAAGGAAAGCAAACAGGGCGGCGGGAAGAGGGGAGGAGGATTGATCGGTGAAATAATAATAATAATAATTTTTTTTCGTTTTCCAGTTTTTGGAATTGATTGTGAATTTGTCGTCGAATCCGGAGGATCAGAGCAAATTGTTTAACATATTGCTGAGGGATTTCGCGAAGAGTTCGTCGTGGAGACGACGACAGATATTCGTTCATCTTTGTTCGGAAATAGCGAGAGAGAAAGCGTTGAGTGATGATGATTTTTGTAGGATATTGCTCGATTCCCTTTTGGTATTGAGCAAGGATGCCGTTCCCAACGTGGGTTTGTGCGTCGCCAAATGTTTGTCCAGTGATATTTTATGTACAGGCAAGGAAATTTAACATTCCCCAACTCTCCGCCCCCTCCCCCCGGATCACACGAGAATCACGTTTTGAATTCTTTTCTTTTAAATTTCAGGTTTTATTAACTCGTCTAGTCCTTATTTTTCAATCATTGTTGAAACTTTGGAAAAATTAAAATGTGATGAAGATCCAGATGTTAGGTATTACGCATCCGAATGGACAGGAGAGGGAAAAGAGAACACGTAGTACACGGTGGTGGTGGTCGTCGTGGTCGTGGAGGAGGAGGTGGTAGAGAGAGTAGTAGCGACGATAGCAATAGTCCCCGGAATATAAATAATAATAATAATAATAATAGGAGAAAAAAGAAAGAAAAAGAATTAGAAGAAGATGAAGAGGAAGAAGAAGAAGAGGAAACGGTTTAGGTTTTTTTTTTTTTCGGTAAAATTTCGCGGCGGTACCCGTGCTGGTTTTTCTTTTTCTTCTTCTTCTTCTTCACCTTAAATTGTAATCATCGTTATGATTATTATTATTATCATTATCGGTATTTTTTTCTTTCCGTTCGGTTGGGGTGGGAAGAGGGGAGGGGAGGAGTGGTGTGGGAGGGTGGGGGGGCGTGGAATTATTTTCTCGTCATTTAACGTAACATTTTCTTTTTTCTTTTTCTTTTCTTTATCCTAACAAAAAAGAAGGAATTTTTAACGAATAAACGGCGCGAAGAAGAATTTTGAAATTTTTTTTTTTTTTTTAAATTTCTTGCACGAAGGGAGAAAACAACGACACACGATATAATATAACGAATCATTTTTATTATTATTATTATTATTATTATTATTAATACTATTTTTTTATTATTTTTATTATTTTTTATTATTATTATTATTAATGTTTTTTTTATTGTTAAATAATAGAGTTATTGTATGTATAATATATGAAATAGATAGATAATCGCGTAACGAAGAGAAGAGAATTTAAAGAGAAAAGAAAAAAAGAAAAAATGGCTCAAAATTTATAGTGGAAATGAAAGTGAGCGTTTTTTTTTTTTTTTTTTTTTTTTCGTAACACAATCACACGTTTTATTAATAATAATAATAATTAATATTTTTTGAATATTATTTAAAATCGAAAAATTGAATTTTTTTATTATTATTTTTTACATTCATTGTAAAAAATCATTTTCCTTTGTTTTCGAATTTATCCTTTTATTCCTTTTTTGACATACCTTTTACGCGCGGTTGGACAAAAAAAGGTTGTTGGTATCCATGGAAGATTTGAAAAAACCGTTAAATCGTTTTGGAACGAAGTTGATGGTGGTTGTAAGATATGTGGAAAAATTATTTAATAAGTTGTTAATAAATTAATTGATAATTAATACAAATTGACGATTTGATTGATTTTGAGGGGGAAATTTACAAGAGAAAGAGAAAAAAAATGGAGGAATGTATTCGTTAATTAAATTGAAGAATTATGGTTGATTAATGTTAATAATAAATACAAATGACAGAGGTCCGATGATTATGATTATTAGGTTAGTAAGATTATTATTAATTACAAAAATATTAAACGATTTCGGTTGTTTTTTGTGTAAATAATGAAACGATGTGGTTTCTTTTAAGGAAGAAATCGAAGGATTTACGGATCGATAATGATAATTAATAATTTTTTTATTAATAATTAAAAATGGCGGCGGCCATTTGATTCGAAAGCGTTTCCTTACTAAAAATTTAAGATTTTATATATCGCGATTATAATTACGCGCGTGTGTGTGCGTGCGATTTATTAAATATCAAATTAATAATTTTATTAATGGGGTAAGTATTTTTTAAATCGAAAAAGTTTTTTTTTTTTTGAAAAAAAAAGGGAAAAAAAACGTGATTCCGGTTATAACGATTAGTAATTGAAAAAAAATATAGATAGCGTTGCGGTCAATTAAGTAATTTCTAAGCAGAAATTTTGGAGTTGTTCATTTAAGAAAAAAAATTTTTTTTTTTTTCTATATTAATAATGCTGTGAGAAAGAAAAATAAATTGTTGTTGTTGTTTAAATTAATAATTATTTATTTTTATTTAATTTTCAAATAAGAAAAGAAAAATAAAATAAAGTTTGTGTGTGTGTCTGTCTGTGTAACTCAGCAATTTGTGGTGAAATTTTTTTTTTTTCATAAATGCAGGCGCAACAACAACCCCAGCATCACATCGGAACTGCTAATGTAATACTCAAAATGAACGATATTCAACTCTCTTCTGTCGGTAAGTTTTCCATTTTTATAATATAATTAAGAATTCTTGTTTTTTATAATCTTAATATTACGATTTACTCTCTGATTTACATATATAATTATTTTCTTTTCATTACCAATAAGCTCGATAAATTACACCAAGCCATTCGATGAAATATTTTTTTTTCCATATAAAATTCATATTTTTATGATTAATTTTACATTTTTTCTTCCTTATTTAACATGAAGTTATTATTCGTTAATCATATTGAAATAATTTAAAATCGATTATTAAATTTATTACGTTTGATTTTACAAGAAAAAATTTCAAGGATGAAAATTTTGTTGTTGAAATGCTTTGGGGCATGCTTTACAATCAAACATTTTATTTTCCCCATATTTGATTCTTTTTCTTTTTGCCATTTTTTTTTAAATGTTTTTTTTTTAATGTTTAAATTATATTCAGGTCTCCTGGATTTGGCTCACAGAGAATATCAAGCTGGGGAATATGAAAATGCTGAAAGGCATTGCATGCAGCTATGGAGGCAAGAGCCGAATAATACAGGAGTCCTTTTACTTCTCTCTTCGATACATTTTCAATGTCGTCGTTTAGATAAGTAAGTCATGATGTTTTCCTTATCAATAATTTTTTTATAATATTATCTCATGTATTAATTATTTATTTATTATTCTATGTTTAAAGCCCCTGCAACAATTCTTACACGATTATTATTTTATCGAAATCCAATTTTTTTTTTGTAAAAACAGATCTGCACACTTTAGTACTTTGGCAATTAAGCAGAATCCTTTATTGGCAGAAGCATACAGTAATCTTGGCAATGTTTACAAAGAAAGAGGTCAACTACAGGAAGCTTTAGAAAATTACAGGCATGCAGTGAGATTAAAACCTGATTTCATAGATGGTTATATTAATTTAGCAGCAGCACTCGTCGCTGCTGGCGATATGGAACAAGCAGTGCAAGCATATGTCACTGCTTTACAATATAATCCAGTTAGTAAATTGTTGTTAAACTAATGCATCTATAATCAAGCGACAAAGTGTTGTCATTATAATATTAATTAAAATATTTTAAATTTAAATTTATTTTTACAGGATTTGTATTGTGTTAGAAGTGACCTTGGAAATCTTTTAAAAGCATTAGGAAGATTAGATGAAGCAAAAGTAAGTTTTTTTTTTTTTTTTTTTTTTAACTCAATCAGTTTTTAATAGAACAAATGCTTTCAATTGTCATCGCTCGAATTGAAAATGACATTCGATTTTGTTATATATATATACCTTTTATGTGTTTTTTTTTCCTTGTTAGTTATTTAACAGGAAAAACCATAAATTATAATATTTCATATTGTATATGCGCTATTGAAGCCCTTGCGTTTAAGCGATCATAAAATATATATGCATACATATTAATTCGAAACATGTTTTTAAATCGTACAAAAGTACTCGATATTAAAAATAAAATAAAATAAAAAATTAATTAATTAATAAGATGATGAAGAAATTGTGAAGAGGATAAAAATTGATTTTATTGCATGTTTTAGTTGTTGTCGAGGGTTTTTTTTTTTTTTTTTTTTTTTTTTTTTTGTGCATAATATAACTTTTTATAAAAAAAAAAAAAAAAATTTACAGCTCGATGTCAAAAAAAAAAAAAAAAGTGAGGTAATGTAATGATTCTTTTTATTATGATATAAAAAATGAAGTTGAGGTTATGTATAGAAGGAATCCAAAACGATTGTTGCTGCTGCTACCATCATCATTATTTTAAAAGGTGAGTTATTAACAAACGAAACAAATTAAAACAACACAAACATATACCTCCACACATACCTCCACACATACACATGTACAAACACAAACACACAAACACATACAAACACACACAAACACAAACACATACAAACACACACACACACACAAACACATACAAACACAAACACGTACAAACACACACACACACACAAACACAAACACATACAAACACACACACACACACAAACCCATACAAACACACACAAACACAAACACATACAAACAGTAAAACCAATTATTTATAATAATAATAATAATAATAAGACATAATATTGTATATTTATTTAAGCAGAATTTATTGAAAAAAAAAAAAAAAAAAAAAAAAATTTACTATTTTTATTTTTTCAGCTAACCTGGCATTTCCTGCATTTACTTCTTCTTACCGGAAATTGTTTAGAATTGAAAAAAAGAGAAAATTAAAATCTGACATTTTTTAATCAGGCTGAAATCAAAAAGAAAAAAAAAACAAAAACAAAAAAACATCCAAAAACATATTTTTGCCATTCCAACTTTCTATATACGTACGAAAATGTTTTTTAACGAAAAACCTTTTTTATAAACCTTTTTTTTTTTTTTTTTAGGTACATATATATAATATGTCTTTATATATATATTTTAATAAGAAAAAATTGTTTTATTTATTTAATTATTTATTTAATGTATTTATTTTTTAAAATGATAATAGAAAGTTTGGGTAGCAAAAATGAAACAAGAAAGAAAAGAGAGGGAGAGAAAGGGAGGAAGAAATTTAAATAAAAATAATAAACGAATCATTCAATATGGAATAAAATCGATTGAGTGCTCCGTTTCCATGTTTTATATTTTAATTTTTAGACGGAGAAAAACAACAAAATGGAGAAAAGGAAAAACAATGGAAAAGCGAAGCAAATGAAAAAAAAAAAAAAAAAGTTGAAATTATTTACAGTTTTAAGGACAGACATACACACACACTCACTCTCCAGTGCGTTTCGATTGTTGTTAGCCTGAATATTATTTTAAAAATTAAAAAATTATTTAAGTGATTTAAAAATTAAATATTAAAAAAAAAAAAAAAAAATGAAGTTTAGTCAAGTGGTCCACCACCACCATCATCATGGTTCATCATGATGTGTTGTTATCTCTTCCTTTTGGGTCACTTGCGGGTTCAGGTAAAGTAATTTAATGAATGGCGTCAGTTTCCCCTCCCCATTTAAAAAAAAAAAAAAAAAATTTGTTTATATTAATTTATAATGTTTTATTTTTATTTTATTTATTTATTTATTTGTATTTCGAAAACAAACAAACAAACGAACGAACAAACGAAAAAAAAAAAAAATGAATAATTTCATATAGAAAATAAGTTTATATAAGGAAACTGACATTTTATTTAAATTAATTTATTTTTAGGTTTTTGAAGATTTTTTTTTTTTTTTTAATTTTAATTTTAATTTCAATTTATTTATTATTATTATTATTATTATTATTATTTTGTCGGAAAATCGCGTCAGTTTTTTCCTTCTTTTTTTTTTTTTTTTTTTTTTTTTTTTGGTTTGCATATGAAGTGTGTGATGAATTTATCATTTATTCTTTTTTTTTTTTTTTTTTTTTACAGATGACGTGAATTTGCGGTACTGCGTGCGCTTTAGGGCGATGGAGATGAATAAGAATAAGAAAAAGAAGATGTAGTAGTAGTAGTAGTTGTAGTAGTTGTAGTAGTAATTGTAGTAGCAGTAGAAGTAGTAGAAAAAATAAAATAAATGCAACCGGAACGATACAATATTTTTTTTTTTTTTTTTTTTTTTGCGAGCGCGCGCAATGTAAAATGAAATCGTCGTGATTTCTAGAACATTCTAGAACATTTTTCGTTCGTTCCGTCGCATTTTTTATTTTTTCCACTCTTCTCTTTTCTTTTTCTATTCTTCTCTCCCCTAAGATTGCATTGAAATATTTTTTTTTTTATTAATTATTTCGGAGAGTAAATGTTTTGTTTTTATCACTACACGACGACGACGACGTAATACATTTGCCTCCGAATAGCTAAAAAAAAATATTTTAATTTGCTTAATTGAAGAAATCATAACACGATTTTATTATTATTATTATTATTATTATTATTATTATTATTATTATTGTTTTGAATCGGGAAATTCCGTTTTACCCTTGAAAAGGTGTATCGAATACGCGATAATTGCTAGAAGGTCTCTCGATATTTAGCAGGAACATTAAAAAAATTTTTTTTTTTTTTTTTTTAAATGTCAATTTAATTACAATTTTTAAGGTTTTCTCTCTCTCTCTCTCTCTGTCTCTCTCTTTTTAAAATTTATAAAATCGGGAAAAGATTTTTTTTTTTTTTACTTTTGCTTTCTGCTCTAGGGCGTAAATTGAAAAAAAAAGAAAAACGAAAAAAAAAAAAAAAATGATAATTCCCCCCCTTCGCGCGCAATGGCGAGTAGTAGTTTTTTTTTTTTTTTTTTTTTTTTTTTTTTTTTAATCATCATCATTATTATTTATTGACCGTTAAAAAAAAAAAAAAGCGTTTTGGCGATTTGCAAAAAAAAATAAAAAATAAAAAATAAAATGAATGAATGAATGATTGTTTAAAAAATTATTAATTTAATTTTTTTTTTTTTTATCGAAACGCGTAAAAAAACGCAGGCTTGCTATTTAAAAGCCATTGAAACGTATTCGGATTTTGCCGTTGCCTGGAGTAATTTGGGATGCGTATTCAACGCGACTGGAGAAATTTGGTTGGCCATACATCATTTCGAAAAGGCCGTGGCTTTGGATCCGAATTTTCTAGATGCTTACATCAATTTGGGAAATGTGTTGAAAGAGGCCAGGATTTTCGATAGGTGAGTCGATTTTTTTTTCTTTTTTTTTTTTTTTTTTTTTCTCAATGGTAGGGGTGACTGAGAGAGAGAGAGAGAACTGGGAGGGGTGGAGAGAGAGAGAGAGAGAGAGAGAGAGAGAACTGGGAGGGGTGGAGAGGGAGAACTGGGGGGGGGGGTGTAGACAGAGAGAGAGAGAGAGAGAATGAAAATGGAAATTTTCCCACGTGGAAATTTGTGCGAGTTTTTTAAATATTATTATTATTATTATTATTATTATCAATAACGGAAAACGTACTCTTTGAAACGTCACACGGCCACGTTTTCTTCTCTGATTCGTTAAAATATTTATAAATAAATTTTTTTTTTTTTTTTAAATGTTTTGTGAAACCTTGAAACAAAAAAAAAAAAAAAAAAGAAAAAAAAATTTCATTGCCAAACGTTTCCGTTTATCTCATTTATTTAAATAATAATAATAATAATAATAATAATAATAATAATAATAATAATAATTTATTAAGTGGGGAGGTGAGAGAGGAGGAGGAGGAGGAATAGGAGGGGAGGAGGGACTACAAATCGAATGTCGATTTGAATTTCACTCGGCCTGACAAAATTTGTTTTACTGACTTGTGAGCAATGAGAAGAGAACGATGACCGAATTTTCCTTTTTTCCCCTCCCCCCTCTTATCGACACAAGAAGAAGGAGGGGGGGAATAAAAAAGGTGTGTTTGATTGTAGTCTCACGATTGAAAATAAATTTTTGTGCAAAAAAAAAGAAAAAGAAAACATTGGTCAGAGTTTGTCGGTTGGCAAATTCACGCATTTAAAGTCTTAAAATAAACTGCAACAAACACAAACACATTCGCACTCACTCGCTCGCTCTCGCACACAAACAAATTTCCACGGCGGGGAAAAATGTTTATTCAAAAAAAAAAAAAAAATTTTTTTTTTTTTTTGGCTTGAAAAAATTTCTATTTGTAAACCATCTCCGACCTTCTCTCGGTGTAATTTCGAGAGAGAGAGAGAGAGAGAGAGAGAGAGAGAGAGAGATGAAAAGGGAAAATTTTTTTTTTTTTTTTTTTTTTTTGGACGCGAGTTTTGTTGACGCGATGGAATGGATTTCGACTGGACCTTGTTTATTAAAAAGAAGAAAAGAAAAAAAAATGTCGGGTCGCAAAAATCTTTGAAAAAATAAATAAAAAACCGTTATAAATAATAATAATAATAATAATAGTAATTTTTGTTCGCGTGAGTTTTTTTTTTTTTTTTTTTTTTTTTTAAATTTTAAATCGGGGATTTTAAAAGGGCGCGCCATGTTTTGTCAAACGATTGTCATATACACGAGTTGTAAAATTTTCGCAAATAATTTTGTACCACGAACCGATTTACGCTCTTCTTGTTCTTCTTGTTCTTCTTCTTCGTGTTTTCCACGGTCTTCTTTTTACCACGACTCTTCGTCGTCTTCGGTGTCGTTTTTTGATTCTTGTTGTTCCCCTTTCGTGTATTGTTTTCCAAAGGTGATAAAGAGGTAAATATATAAAAAATGGGATTGTGTTTGTTTTCTCTCTCTCTCTCTCTCTTTTTATTGTTTCGCACATGAGCCATTTAACGTCATGACGAGTATGAATGTGGTAATTGAGGTTTTTTTTTTTTTTTTTTTCTGCAAATAAGTTTAATGATTATGAGAATTAAAAATAAATAAACGTGCACGATTTGATTTGTTTTTCTTTGTAAATTGTCCAGGGCCGTTGCCGCATACCTGAGAGCTCTCAACCTTAGTCCGAACAATGCTGTCGTTCATGGAAATTTAGCATGCGTTTACTACGAACAAGGTCTCATCGATTTGGCCATCGATACTTACCGGAGAGCTATAGAACTTCAACCCAATTTTCCAGATGCTTATTGTAACCTGGCGAATGCCCTCAAGGAAAAAGGACAAGTGCCGGAAGCGGAAGATTGTTACAACACGGCTTTGCGACTGTGTCCAACTCACGCGGATTCCCTCAACAATCTTGCCAATATCAAACGAGAGCAAGGTTATGTGGAAGAAGCGACGAGATTGTACCTCAAAGCTTTGGAAGTTTTTCCAGAGTTTGCCGCCGCTCATTCTAATTTGGCATCGGTTTTGCAGCAACAGGGAAAACTCACGGATGCGCTGTTGCATTACAAAGAGGCCATCAGGTGAAAAAATTTAACAGTTTACCAACATTTTTTTTGGTCATTCATTGACTGACGGGTTTCGATTGCTCCCTTATTTACAGGATTCAACCGACTTTTGCCGACGCGTATAGCAACATGGGAAACACTCTCAAAGAAATGCAAGACATTCAGGGAGCGCTGCAATGTTACACGCGAGCCATTCAAATCAATCCCGGATTCGCGGATGCTCACAGCAATTTGGCATCCATTCATAAAGATTCCGGGAACACGACGGAGGCCATACAGTCGTATCGCACTGCTTTGAAATTAAAACCTGATTTTCCCGATGCCTATTGCAACTTGGCTCACTGTCTCCAAATCGTATGCGATTGGACGGATTACGAAGCTCGAATGAAAAAACTCGTGAGCATAGTTGCCGAACAATTGGAAAAGAATCGTTTGCCTTCGGTTCACCCTCATCATTCCATGTTGTATCCCCTTTCGCACGAATATCGGAAAGCTATTGCGGCCAGGCACGCGAACCTGTGCATAGAAAAGGTATTTGTCGCGAAATCATTTAAAGCGTGAAATGTGCGTGTAAAATGATGGGAAAAAAATGTCTGTTTTGTTTTATGTAAATGCCAGATTCACGTTCTTCACAAGCCTCCCTACAAATGCACTAAAGAAAACAACGCCAGGTTGCGAATAGGTTACGTATCGAGCGATTTCGGAAATCATCCCACGTCTCATTTGATGCAGTCTATTCCAGGTTTACACGATAAAAATAAAGTTGAAGTTTTTTGTTACGCTTTAAGTCCGGATGACGGTACGACTTTCAGAGCGAAAATCTCTAGGGAAGCTCATCATTTCGTCGATTTGTCACAGGTCGGACATATTTGAATGACATAAATCGTTGTTGTCGATTGGATTTGTTTTTTTTTTTTTGTCTAAATTGTTTTTATTCTTTGTCCTGTTTAGATTCCGTGCAACGGAAAAGCTGCGGATCGAATTCACGCTGACGGAATACAAATATTGGTCAACATGAACGGATACACGAAAGGAGCAAGAAACGAAATATTCGCTCTAAGACCGGCACCCATTCAGGTACTACCTAAAAAAAAAAAAAATTAATTTTTTTTTTTTAAACGTCATTCCACGTCATAAACGTCACATTGTAATTTTAGGTTATGTGGTTGGGTTATCCCGGTACGTCCGGAGCATCATTTATGGATTATTTGATAACCGACGTCGTGACATCACCGTTGGAATTGGCTCATCAGTACAGCGAAAAATTGGCTTACATGCCGCACACGTATTTCATCGGAGATCACAAGCAAATGTTTCCGCATTTGAAAGCTCGAGTCATTCTGGCGGATAAAAACACGTCTAAAAAAGATCTTGCGGACAACGTCGCCGTCATAAACGCCACGGATTTATCTCCGATAATAGAACACACGGAAATCAAAGAAATAAGAGAATTGGTGGCGACGGAAACCGAACCGAAATTAGAAATCTCACTCAAGGTAGCCGAACTCCCGACGACGACTCCCATCGAAAACATGATAGCTTCGGGACAAATTCAAACTTCCGTTAACGGCATCGTCGTTCAAAACGGTTTGGCTACGAATCAAACCAACAACAAAGCGGCAACCGGAGAAGAAGTGCCACAGAGCATTGTCATCACGACGAGGCAACAGTACAATCTTCCCGACGATGCTGTCGTTTATTGTAATTTTAATCAATTGTACAAAATCGATCCGATAACTTTACAAATGTGGATGAATGTAAGTTTAACGAATCGATTTTACCGACGCCATTTTTGATTGATATTAAAACGCCATTTTTTTTGTGTAGATATTGAAACACGTGCCAAACGCGATTCTTTGGCTTTTGAGATTTCCCGCGGTGGGGGAAAGCAACATACACGCGACGGCTCAACAATTAGGAGTCAGTCCGGCGAGAATACTCTTCAGCAACGTGGCCGCGAAAGAAGAACACGTGAGACGGGGTCAATTAGCTGACGTTTGCCTGGATACGCCACTTTGCAACGGGCACACCACGAGCATGGACGTACTGTGGACGGGAACGCCCGTCGTAACTCTTCCAGGTGATGGATCGTTTTCCAAAGTTTTTTTTTTTTTTTTATCGCGCAAAAAGCACTCGTGGAAATGATGGTAGTAATGATGATGATGATGATGATGATAAATTTTCAGGAGAAACTTTGGCTTCACGCGTTGCAGCATCTCAGTTGGCAACACTCGGTTGTCCGGAATTGATAGCAAGATCGAGACAAGATTATCAGGACATAGCCATAAGATTGGGAACGGATAGAGAATAGTGCGTTCAAATTCACCAAAAAAAAAAAAAAATCGTTAAAATTTTATCTATTCGTTTGTTAATTTTTTTTTTTTTTAAATTTTAGTTTGAGAGCCATAAGAGCCAAAGTTTGGTCGGCGAGAACGGAAAGTCCGCTGTTCGATTGCAAAAAATACGCGGAAGGAATGGAAGAATTGTTTCAAAAAATGTGGGAAAGATACGCTCGGGGTGAAAAACCCGATCACATCGATTGTTCTGCCCAAAAATAAGAAGGGAAGAAGAATGGAAGGAAGAAAGGAAAGAGAAAGAAGAAGAAAAGGAAAATCGCAACAAGATCATTCTTTTTGTTTCCGTATCCGGACATGGCGCGAATATCACAAGAAACGAACGCAGCCAATCGAACGGACAGATCGAATCGATGATGATGATGATGATGAATAAATGAAAATTCAAATTTAACGGCCGAGATTTAAATGATGGCAATCAAATTTTTTTTTTGTGTTTTCTTCTTTTATCATCATCATCATCATCATCATTATTATTATTATTATTATTAGTTTTTTTTTTTTTTTCGTGATTAACTGTGATAATTATTATTATTTTTTTTTTTTGTTTGAAAAAGCATTACCATTCTCATGTCTATTATTGCTTCTGCTAGTACTATTGCTACTTCTACTACTACTACTACTACTACTAATTACTAACGTTGTCGCCGCCATTTTTTTTCCCCCCCCCCCAAGTTGGACCGAGACGAAAAGGGAAAGGGGAGGGAGAGAGGGGGAAAAGTTGTTTTTAACACGATGGAACTTTTTTCTTTTTGTTTTGTTTTAAGTCAGAAACGAAGCGAGATGTTGTCGTCATTATCATCATCATCATCATCATCATCTTTGATGAGATTACCCCAATTGACAGAAAGAGAGAGATGTGGGGGGACATAGTCACGTGATAACATTATTACAAAAAAAAAACGGTTGAAAATGTTTGTTTTTTATATATTTTTCATTCAACCGAAATTAAATACCGGTTAAAACGATGATGATAATAATAATAATAATGATGTTGATGATGATGATGATGATAATAACGATTGTGAGTGATTTTATTTTATTTTTTTAAAACACAAATAAAATAATGATGATGATAATAATAATAATAATAATTTTCTTTTCTTTTCTTTTATTTATTTATTATTATTATTATTATTACGGTTTTTATTAACTATTAATTCTAATGATAATGATAATAATGATAATACACGCGTGTAAATAATTAATTAAATAAAATAAAAAAAAAATAAAGGTGATGATGATGATGATGATGATGATGATAATGATGATATTAGTAACGTGTGATAAGAATGAATGAATGACAAGACCTTGTACAGGTTTTGGTCGTTATTTATTCGAGCAGGAAAAAAAAATGTATCGGTAAATTTTCTTTCCGTATGTAATCGTGTTCCTAGTTATTATCATCATCATTATCATTATTATCATTATTATTATCGTAATATTAATATTAGTTAGGCGATACCTTATAAGTATTAATGTTTATACATATTTAAAAAAAAAAAAAATAAATAAATAAATGAAAATATTTTCTTATTAGTTGAATAAATAAATTGAATTAATAAATAATAATAATGATGATGATGATTATGATTATTATGATTATTATGATTATGATGATTTTGACAAAAAGTGTATTTTTTAATAAATTGAATAAAATAATGAATTATTTAAAATAAAAGTTTTATTATTTTTTCCTTTTTTTTTATTATTTTGTCGTATTTATAATGACGCACAAACATTTCCTTATAGAAAAAGAAATCGATAACCGGAAGTACGTCAGACCGAACGTTCTAGAACTTTTCATCTTTTTCCTTAAAATCCGTCAGTCGTTTTTTGAATGTGTTATAGTGCGGAGACGTTCGTTCGTTCGTTCCTTAATTTTACTTAATTTTTTGTGAAATCCTTTTTTGTTTCGATTTATTATTTATATTAATTAATAATTTGATAATTAGTGAATTCGTTAATTGATAAAATAACGTCGGATCGCGTTTTATTAAGGGGATAAAATAGAAAAAACGAAATCAAATTTTCATATTCTATTAACTTTTAACTTGAAAAACCAACATGGCGGCGTCGTTAATGTAAAATGTAAAGGTGAGAAAAATTTATGTAATTATCGTTATCGTTATCGTTATCGTTAATAAGAATAATAATAATTGCGACGTTGAAATAATAATAATAATAATAATAATAATAATAATAATAATAGGAATAATAATACGCGGCGTGTTAATCTATAACGCCGCGTAAAAAGGTAAAAAAAATTTTTTTTTTTTTTTTTTTTTGAATAAACGTTGAAATTCGAAAATGATTTATGCGACGTCTATCGGTAATAAATGTAATTAAAAATTTCAACGGTTACGATCACGTGATGTGATGCAAACGTCAACGGGGTGAATTTTGATTGTTAGTAAAAAAAAAAAAATTAATTTGAAGGATTATTATTATTATTATTCTCACGTAAGTTGAATTAAATTAATAATAATAATGATAATAACGATGATATTAATGATAAAAGAATTTATAATTACAAAAACAATTAATTATATTACATAAAATGAGCACATTTTTAACGGCGTCTTTGAAACGGCCTTCCATATTTAAAAAAAAAAAAAAAAAAAATATAATTTAAGATTTTAACGTTAATTAATGTTTTTTTTGTTATTTTTATAATCACAGAACGATAATGTCGAGTGGATAATTAAGTGTCATACGTAATCCGAAGGCACCGTTATCATTTCGCATATGGAAGACAGTCTTAAAGGTGGAGGCCTACGATTTGAATCCCAAAACGTAGTACCAGTATCGGGAGGGCCGACAGCTTCGTAGGTTCTATCGGACGGAGCACATGATAAATCGCTATAATAAGCACTGCTAGGTGCCGAAGAGGGTAAACAATCCGGCTCAGGTTCAGAATCTGCATATCCAGTGTTTTGATAAGCAGGACTGTTTGAGGAAACACGATCCAATTCGGCATATAACGCTTCGCCTGTAAGGAAAAAGCAAGTAAAAAACAATTTTTTTTTGCTTATTTTTATTTTTGTAACGGTCAAATTTCAAAATGGGGAATGATTGTGTAAAAATTTTAAAAATTATTTTTTGTTAACTAACCGTTGTTAGGATAAGTTTCTTCTACTGTGTAATGATTATCTGGTGCTATGGGTGCTGATGAACCCAATTGTGTCGGTGCTGTCGGTGGACGTCTCGACAACCAATACCACACCCTCCTCTGTCTTCTATCTTCGCTTCCATCTATTCTATCACGGGGTAAATGATATGTGTTTTCAAATTCTTTGCTACTTGCTCTACTCGTCGATCTGTTCGACAAGTGTATAGATGGCGGTTCTCGTTCGTCGTCTCTTCGAAGACAAAAACACGAACCTGTTCAAACAAAATTTTTGTTTTATATCCACACTATGGTTATGTCATAATTTTCATGTTTAAAAACAAATATTTACCTGTTGAGTGTCCTAAATGTTTTAATCTGCTGGAAAATGTAAAAAAAAAAAAAAAAAGAAAAATTCGATTAATCGATTATGTTTATGGCGGTCGGTTTTTTTTTTTCAAAAAAATGTTATCGTTAGCAATATTTTTATACTTACTTCCTACATTTAATTATCGTTATCATGACTACAGCACCTATCAGTGCTGACAACAGAGAGACTATAATTAGGGTCATCACCCAACTTATTTCTTTACCATCTGTAAGAAGTAAAGAAGGGGTTATTTTTTTTTGTTTATAAAATTTGGAATGACTCTCTTATCATTTTAAAAATATTGATAACGTGAAAAGAATAGGTCATTGATAATAAACATACCTAATGATTCCGGTCCTAAGGGGTGATGCCTTGCCCAGGTACACAAATCGCAGGTGGTGACACCATCAGTGGCAACATCATCATCTAAAAATGGGGGTCTTGGAGGAGGTGGTACGAACGGAGAATTCCACAAACCATCTTCTCCATCGAGTGTCATCGAATGGAATGTATCCACTTCGATGGCATCTATCCACCAGTCTTCATCTGACGTGTAATCCGCATCCGAATTCGTCATTTTGTCCTAAATGACGCGGAGTAAGAAAACAAATAATAAATAAATAAATAAATAGAATTTAACCGAACATGTCGCGTGCGTGTAACGGACTGTCGCGAACGCGTAATATCGACCGGGTTTTTCGAACGTATAAATTTTTAAAACTGAAAACCCCCAAAAAAAATTTACGACGAAACAAATGAGGGCGACATTTTTTTTTCCCCCGAAAAAAAAAATCGTCGTTGTCGTCGTCGTCGTGGTTGTTGTTGCAATTGAATTTTTAACAACAATCAACAACGTGTATACCCACAGGTATCACATTTTACCATTATTTTCGTTGTGCGACAAATTTTTTTTTTTTTTTTGATTTGTCGTCCCTCTGAATAAAAAAATTTTAGGTTCGTTTCAAATTTTTTTTTTTTTTTTCATCTTTTACTCTTATTCTTCTTCCACTTCTTTCTCATCTTACTTATTACTCTCCTTCCCTTCTCGTGGTGGGGATATTTTTAAACGTGAAATTTTTTCGTTTCAACTTGTTATTATTACTACCCATCTACCTACCTACCTACGAGGCACCCGTTAACGGCGACGTTTTTATAACGCATACAAACTAATAAATTTTTATCGTTAATAAATTTATAATGTGCGGTTGTTAAAATTGACGAAGACGAAGAAGACGAGGACGAGGACGTGGACGAAGAATATGACGTTAACGATAATGATAATGATGATTAAAATGAAAGTTTACATAATTTTATTTAAAAACAAATCATATTTTTTAATTATCCACTTAAAATTTTTTTTCTTTTTTTTTTTTTTCTTTTTACACGACGTTTTTCACGACATGCCAGTTTACGTACTTGCCAGTTTTATGGTTTTATTTTACGACCGGGATATGTTGTTATTAAATTATTCGTACAAGTTGTCAGACGACGAACGATCGAGTTTTCCAATTAAAATTATCACCTTAAGGGTTAAGAAAATTCGAATTCATTCGGAATAGGTTTGGGTAGAAAAGTGAGAGAGAGAGAAAGAGAGAGAAACGCGCGCCTACGTAATGTGTGTGTGAAATCATGAGAACAAGAGACAATTGTCGTTTGCGGATTTATTTGTTGTTCATTGAAATGATGTCAAGTGTCTCAAATCCATTTGGTTGTGCGTTACGCACAAACGTATAGAGACCCTTTTTTTTCCTTTGTATACATATTTTTTCCAACGACTTTTTATTTTCCTCGTATCTTCTGACCCCGTAGTTTTCATTCTTCGTCGAAAATATGTTCTTTCAAGTAGAAATAGCGTAAATCGGATTAGGGATTTCACTACCATTGAAAGTTAGCCTTTGGAAATTTCTAGAAAACCGTCCTTGACGTTGTTCGTATTTATATCGTGTGGTATGTGAGGAAGGAGTCGGCGAAAAGGTAAAAAAAAAGAAAAAACCTATTGTCCTTTGTCAATCGGTTGTTAGCGTTTTGTTTAATTGTTCGTTTGTATTCGTGTTGTATTTTATTGTTTGCAAATCGTACAAATATTCGTTTGTCGCGCGCGGCGAACATCATTTCGTGACAAACAATTTACGAAAGGAAAAGGTTGTGAATTTGCGATTCCGGTAAGTTTTTAATTTTTTATTTAACGTTTGTTAATTAATGAAGAATCTTTGCCGGGATGGTTGTTGTTGTTTTTGTTGTTATGTCCGAATAACATAACCAAATGAGTAAAAAGAAACCGATCCGGTTTAACCCGAAGGACTTATAACCGCGATTATCGGGCGGGGGAGGGGGAGGGGGTATATATTAGTCGATTGTTTTGATTTATGAACTTTATAAAAAAAAAAAAAATTTTTTGTTCTGTTGAAGCCTGTCGGGGTATTTAAAGACGGATTGTTTAATGAGTTGCCAGTTACTTTTTAGTATTGCCTAAAGGAATAATTCTAACGTACAACTTAATATTTGAAATTTTTCTATCTCTCTCTCTCTCTCTCTCACACACACACACATTTTCTATTGATTGTAAAAGAGTGCCGGAATCGAAAAAATGTGAAAACGACTCGCCCACCACTTATCGACGACAGCATTTGAATTATTATTGTTTTGTTTGCCAACAACAACAACAACATATTCATAAACATAAGATTTAATAGATATGAAATATTTAATATTACCTCCTACGTTTTCTATATATTTTTCTTTTCTTTGTAGTAAGTAATTAATAAGAAATTTTTTTTTTTTGTTTCTCGTTGGAATTTCATTTAAACTCTCTCTTTCTCTCTCACACACACGTATACACCTGTACCTCCTGAATGTGTTTTAAATGATTGAGATGATGATGATTGTGTAAAAGTCACACCAATACACTAAAACTCATTCAGTCAGTCAGTCAGTCATTCAGTCAGTCATTCAACATTTAATAAAAAATAATATAGTTTATTTTATTTAACATTCAAGGTTGTTTTAATTTAAGAAGTTTTTCTACAATCACCACTACTATTTTTTATACATAAAAATTTTTTAATGACAAAATTGTTGTTGGTGGTAATTCATATTAAACAAAACAATGATAAAATTAAAGTCATTGAAAATGAAATGAAAAGGAGGTGGTTGTTTGGTTGTTTGGTTGGTTGTAGGTTGAAAAAATAATGTTGGGGGTTATTATTGAAAGTTGGGAACTGTGAAAGTTGTTGTTGAATGTTGTTGAAAGAATTATGTTGCATATTCGAATCATTATTTAAAAAAAATTTTTTTTTATTTTTCTTCATGTTTCTAAACATTTTATTTAAAATGTATATAAAATAACATAAACGGTAGAAATGTGTAATAATAATAATAATAATAATCCATCGATGAAAGACATCAATGGTACATCAATAAAATAAAAAAAAATTTTATCCAATAATAAAAAAAAAAAATATTTTGTGTTTTATAATATATGAAAATTTAACCGTATTTTATGTATGTAGGTGGAACATGTTTGTTAAAACGAATCGTGTGTGTGTGTGTGTGTGTGGAAGATGAACAACAAACACACAAAAAAAAAAAAATGAAACAGGTTACGTACGTACACGTACATGTGTATTAAGTGAAAGAACTTGAATTCTCGATATAATAGAGACATTGAAAACGAATAATAGATAAAATTTATTAGATAAAAAGATGTGAGAGAGAGAAAGATAGATAGATAGAAAGAGAGAGAAAGATAGATAGATAGAAAGAGAGAGAAAGATAGATAGGGAAAGAGAGAGAGAGAGAGAGAGAGAGAGAGTAAGATGGGTAAAAAGAAAAAACACAAAATTTTTTTTTTTTCGTTTTTTTATTTTTATTATTATTATTATTATTATTTTTCACTACCGTCGTAGTAAATTTATCATCGTATTGTTTATTATTATTATTATTATTATTATTATTATTATTATTATTATTATTAATAACGGCTTATGGATTTTTCATGACTCATTTAATTGCAACACGATTTTTTTTTTTTTTTTAGAAAATTGATCATTTAAATACGTGTTAAGTTAAATTACCCGCGGATTTTCTAAGAATTTATGTGAGGTTATTTTTTCCAAAGGAATTATTTATTTATTTTCGAATCTTGCAAAAAAAAAATTTTTAATGTTCGATTTCGATTTTCGAGTTTCGATTTCGTATCGATTTTATTATTATTTCAAACGATTTTCTTATTCCCCATAAGAAACCGTTTGTTTAATCATGTGAGGTTAGGTTTCTTTTAGGTAATTGAGTAGAGCGGTGGTTTTACGATATGAATCGATCGATCGATTTATTTTCGATATATCGATTCGTGTTTGAAATTTGTTTTCGTGATTTCACATACCGGTGACGTATAAAAACGCTCAAAAAAATTTTTTTTTTTTTTTTTACCGGAGGAGAAGGAAAAAAAAAAAAAAAGAAGCGTTAGAGTTTAAATAACCAAATTAAAATTATATAATTTCGTCGTAAACTCTCACCTCGAGAAGTGATTAAATATGGCGGGGGAAGTAGGGGGTGGGGGATTGGGGGATACAGAGGATAAAGGGATAGGGGGAAGGGATAAAATGTTTACGCGACGGAGGCGTTTTTATTAAAAAAATTTTTTTTATTTTCTTTCAAAGTAATTTTCTCATTTCTCCCCCCCCCCCGTCTCTCTCTCTCTCACCGCCATTTTCTCATACGCCTTATTTATATTCCCTTTTTTTTTTTTATTTCTAACTCACACGAATTTTTTTTTACATACATACACACATAAAATGCGGAACATTTTGAAATCATGAAACGCCTCGGGTTTAACAACAAAAAAAAATTTTTTTCTACAACAACAACAACAACCGCATCTCAGTTAAAAGTTTTCATTTAAAAAAAAAAAATTTCCCTTAAAATTTCATTTTTAAATTAAAAAATAATTTCATATTTCGTACCAACATAATAATAATCAAAACAACCTCATGCAACAACCACCACCACCGCCATGAGAAACAAAAAATTTAAATATTGAATGAGTGGGCGGGTATATTTTTTCTCAAAAGTTGGCAATAATAAAAATCTCATTAATGAATTAACAAAGAAACAAAAGAGAGAGAGAGAGAGAAAAAATTATTATTAACGAGGTAAAAGAAAGAAAGAGAAAAAAAAAAAAGGGATCGGTTTAATCTATGGAATTTTCCATAATCGATCATTTTTCAAAAAAAAAAAAAAATTTAATATCGATGAGATTTTGGAGAAAGGAAATAGAGAAAGAGAGAGAGAGAGAGAGAGAGAGAGAGATGGGGGAGGGGAAATACGTCACTGGTATTGGTAGTACCAACATAAAAAATTCCTAATCTTATTTCTTACATTTAATTTCTTATTTCTTCGTACTTATTCTTCTAATACAAACATTTTCCGGTTGTTGTTGTTGTTGTTGTTGTTATCATTATCATTATTATTATTGTATTATGTAATTGAAAAATTATTAAGTTACAAGTTTTCGTTTCGTTTCATTTTATAGATGGTAGACATATCAAAACTATTATAAAATTAAATTCATCATGAAAA